GGGGGAAGGGGAAGGGGAAATTTGTTGGAGGCAGATGAGAGAATACAGGCCTTGAGGCCTGAGAGTCCTGGCTGCCCTGGGAACTCTGAGTGCCCCCATTTGGCAACCTGCCCCCTGCCCAGGAGTGGCAGGGACAGAGGCTGAGTTATGAAAGCTCTGGGACTTTGCTGGGGAGTTAGGATTGTATCCGAAGGTCAGTAGAAAGTCACTGAGGAGTTACAAGGAGAGGAGTGATGTAATGAAATAAAAACTGGTTTCATAAAAACCAGTGCAGTGGTTCAGAGATCCCCTTGGACCAGGACAGACTTGTTGGAGGTGGGGGGCAGGGCTTATCAGAGGGTTCAATTAACAGGCTGTTAGGATAATCCAGAGAAAGAGAACAAAGGACAAAGGAATACTGGGAAATGTTGTCTGGGCCTCCTCAATCCTGGCTGCGCTTAAATTTATTTAAGGCATTAATAAAATGATGGCCAGACCCTCCCTCCACTGAGGAAATCAGAATATCTGAGAGAGGGTGGTTATGCGCATTTTTTAGAAAGCCTCCTAAGGTAGTGCCTCCCCCTCCAGGGTTGATATTCACTGAGATCTCCTTGCCTTTCTACAAGTTTTCAAGGCCATGGTTGCTTCTCCAGGTGAGCTGTAGGTTTACCTGGTGGTTTACCCACCAGGTGAAGATGCACTGTTAATAAAGCCTTCTTGTCTGGTCTGGCTGAATGACTGCCATGCAAAACATGCCACCTTGACATAGTCAGGAGGATTGATAAGTAGAATCTTTCTTAACATTTGAAGGAATCTGAGTCACCCAGGGGCAGGAACAAATGTAGGTTTGGATCAGGAAGCATTGCCTGCCCACACAGAGCCAAAGGGACTCCCTGTAGTGGCAAAAGCATCCATTTGTCCTTGACCCTTTGCTCACAAGTCTGGCATATTTCACAAAACCCAAGGAATGGAGTAAATGCTTGAATTTTTGTAACAGTCCTCTAATTCCTTAGAGTTGCATTTAAGAAACAAATTGCATGAGCCCTGATTTTGCTGGCCTGTTGGGAAGAAGGGAAGAAACCCGAGAGCTTCTGCTGTGAAGGTAGAACAGGGAGAAAACGGAAGGATTCCCATTCTGCTCAGACCCATTGCTACTCTTGGCTGGCTCGAATTGTAGAGTTCAGCAGAGTGATGACAGGCTTGGGGAACAGCTGCTGAGTTGCTGTAGAGGGGTAATGGGAAGATAGGGGCATCCCATTGTTCACGGAAACCTGCAGATGCCACCTGATGATTCCCAGCCTTACACAAAAGGGCTGTCTACTCGAAGAACTGCTTTGTGAAAGGACCAAAGACTAAAGCTGTTTCCAATAAAAATTTCCTGTTTCCTCCTTAATACATTTGTCTGTTGCTTGCTCAGAGAAAACCCACGTATAAAAGTTTCATTGTATTTCCATTGTACTTTTAGTTTATAATGGCATTTTTGCTCAGTGGGGAATTTATTTTTAATCACCCTCATAAATTTTATACCACTACCCACACATACTCAAGGAAAAATTATACCTTGATCAGAGCCAGTTACAAGTCTCCAAAATGAGCCTGGGGGAGTTCTTAAGGTGACTGAAGCAATTAATATATAGTTTTCTTTAATATTTTAAAATCTGTTCATTGCTACATATTTTTTAAAGGAAGAACCTCTATTGGATGAAGAAACTTACATTTCTCTAGGTTTTTTTCCCCTCTCCCACTATGACATGCGAATGTTAAGGAAGCTCATTTTTAAGGTGAGAGAGTCATTCTTCTTAGCATCTTTTTATCTTGAGGATGATATTAGCCCTCCACATTTTAGGATCAGTCTGAGCAGTAAATGAAGGAGTTAACATATACTCAGTGCTTACACAGGACCTTGCACATATTAGATGCTCCGTATAAGGTACCGCTGATAGAATTGACCAGGCATCTGGGAAGACTCTATAGAGATGGAACCATTTGGGTTGGACCTCGGGATGAGTGAAATTTGACCTTGAATAATGGGAGGACATTTCAGGCCAGGGAAGTTGCAGGGTAGGTGTGAGGTTGAACACCACACTACTTTGGCTAGGAAGATAGAGTACAGGAAACTGAAAAATTAGGTGGGAAGCCACGTGGGGAGCCTGGGAAACCATGTAGAGGTCTTTAGACCTGACTCTCTAGGCAGTGTGTGAGGGAGAGATGGGATCAAAACTGTAGCTCAGGAGTTTAGTGAACCCAGTCCAGGTTTCAGTGAGAAAAAAAGAGTGAAAATAGACCCAAATCAGTGAGTGAAACAGGACTGGTGTTACCTACCAGCCTGGAATATAGATCTAGGCTCATTTCACAGTAAAAATAATATATTGACAAGAGTAAAATCTACAAATGTTCCATTTTAAAAATCTGTAACAACTTTTTACAGTTTTCTAATTCTGATTTCCACTAAGTTCTCATTTGTTAAGCAGGCTAAGTTTTCAGTGAGTGAATATTTTCAGTGCTTATCTGTGTTGTTTTATATCTAAGAGACAGGCATTCTTATCAGAGAGTCAGGATGAAGACAAAGAAGGATCAAATTACCTGGTCTCTGTGGTTTTGAAAATACTACTTTTTAGCCATTATATGAGCTTTTAATGAAATTATCTGCTGAAGAAGCAAACCTGTGCCGTTCACATTTCTTTCTGGCCAAGTGGCATGAGGAGTGACTGTTTTATTTTAACTAGATCAACTTTTGGCTGTGAGAGCTTTTCATTTTCTTAGTAATAGAAAATTAGAGTGATACGAAACCATAGCATTTGTGTGTTCCTGAAATCTCAAGGGATTTGTAATAAAAATCTTAAGTAATACGTGTGCTTTGCAATATGTAAAGTATTATATAAATAGTTGTGAAAGTTTTTTAGAACAGTATCTTGCATCTTTCATGCCTCCTAATATGAAACCATTTTAATAAGAAAATCAAAAATATGCTTGAAATAGGTGCCAAAATCAGTTTGTGAATTGGTGTCTAATGAAGGCTTTTGTATGTGCGCCGACCTGATGTCGGGTCTCAGTATAGTCAAAAAGGATGGAATTATGGCTTACAGCTTACTAAGTAAGATATTAAGCAAGCACATTTTTTTTTATCAATCTATTGTTCAGTGTTTTAATCTGTTAAATGATTTCTAAGAACCTAAAAACAAGTGTGTTATTTAAAATATTATTTAAAACAGCATTTTTTTTTCTTCCTGTATGTCTTCAGGAGTAGGGAAAGGACATGGAGATGGCAGAAAAAGTACTTTCTTCCTTCTTTAAAATAAAACGTTGAGCTTTTATATGTTTTCTCCCAGAAGAACAGTTTTTCCAGAAAGTATTTCTGTTGTAATTTTATTAAAACTTCCTGACTTCCTTACAGATACCAGGTATGGCTATTAAAATGTGGAAAAAGCGTTAGGCTCCAGTAATTCGTATGGGCCCATTCTGTCTATTCTTTTATTCAGCACAAACATTGTAACCCCCACACAGATTTATGCCCCGCCATCCTTCACCTTAATGCCATCTCCAATCTTATGTGTAGAATACTGCTTCATCTCTTCACTGAAAAGACTTAGGAAAATACTTAGCCATACCTTTGAATTCTACTCCAGGGCCATAATTCTTTTTGGCCCGGGTATTAACTAGCTTGGAAAATCAAGGGTTGTTTTTCGCTTTGGTGTGCTCAATAAGGACATTTCTACCTACTTTAATGAACTTGAGTTTCTTAATTACCTTTCTTGAAAAGCCAATGAACTCCTGAAATACTAGGTGAAAACTGCTGCTTTGAAACCATAAAGTTACTAGATAAAAGTCGGTTCTCTACACTTTTCCTAATATTGACCATTGGCCTCACATCTGGCTCTGAGGAGAGATGCTTAATAAAGTTTTTAATCTGGGCTGAATTAAACAATGTTGAGATGTTTATGAAGAAGTGAATAGCCTTACATAAGTACTCTCATGTCCTGAGGAAGGTAGGAAGGGGAGTTAAAAGGAATATTCTTTGTGCAAACAAAGAAACTAATTAATGTGTCCAGGACCTCTTCTGTGAGTCAGTTTTAACAAGATTGTAAATATGTGCTTGAGTGAGTTCTAACATAGTGTGTCAGTTACTTTTGGCCTTTCTGTTTATCAATACTATCTACAAGATGTTCAACCACAGAGAATCAGGAGCTTTATTAGGCCTTTCAACCTGCCAAGACTAGGGTTTAGTGACTTCATTTCCCCTGCTTGAAAGCATGGGACTTTCTCTTACTGGATTAATATCCTGCATGGAGAGGTGCATCCCAACATCTAGGACCTTTAAACCTGAGGCTGATCAGGAGGATCACAAGTCTAAGCCTAGCTCAGGTGTCTTAAGAACTTACTGAGACCTTATCTGAAAATTTTAAAAGGGCTGGAGATGTAGCTCAATGCAAAGGCCCTGGATTCAAAACCCCAGTACTGCAGAAAAGAAATGAATAAATCAATCAAAGGAAATAAAATGGCCAGCCCATTGGTGCCACAGAGTCTGTTTTAGGGCCCAGAAAAGTTCTACCCTTGGGTGTCAGATGTACTGGGTAGACTTTTGTTGAAATGAAAAAATAAATCCAGTTAGGCCAGTCAGACTTAAAATTAGTTATTGAATCTCTCTTCAGCTCCCTCATGGTGCCCTGATTTTAATAATCATTTGTAACCTGAGCACATGAGAAGCAGCAAACTAAGTGATTGCTCAGACCCCATTTCTGTGTTTTCTTTTAACTGGAAGATACATAATCACACACACTTGAAAAAAGTCTGAAAATATGAATAAAGATTTAAATTGAATTAAATGGACTTTTTTATGTTTGCCTACCCATATTTTTTACAGAAGTCATATTTTGCTTGTATAATACAGTGAAATCAATTTATTAAGAAAAAAAAAGCAAAAAATAAAAAATAAAAATAAAAGAAAAAAAGCATGCTGAGGTACATAAGGCTAACAGTTTTGTCTTTTCTGTTCTGTTCTGTTCTGTTCTGTTCTGTTCTAGAAATCGAAGCCAAGGAAGCTTGTGATTGGTTGCGAGCAACTGGTTTTCCTCAATATGCACAGCTTTATGAAGGTAAGCTAGAAATGCCATTTTTCTTTAAATTATTATAATCATAATCTTTGATTCATAGTTCATGATTATTATTGATCCATGATTTGTTTCCAGACATGTTACATGTTACTTAATTTTTAGTAGTTAATTATTTCACTTAAAAACATAATGTGATGAACACCGAGACCCCCACCTCTCAAAACAATAGCTGTGACCTTGATAATGCACGCCTACTTGTGCCCTGTTCTGTCCTGCTGCCAGGAATTACCAGCATTCTGAAACTTCTGTCTTCTTTTTCCTTCCCTTTTGTATTGTTTTACTAAATGTCCTAAAAAGTACATGTTGATAAAGTTGTCTTTACCTTTGTAAAAGGGGTATTATGTTGTATGTAATCTTGTGGGATTTAATTTTTTCATTTAACGTTGTGTTAAATTTTTCTGAACTGAGTGTCCCTATAATTCATTTGATTTAACTGCTGTATAATACTTCGTCCTGTGGAATGTTAAGTATTCCTATCTAACTTTGTTACTTTTCTTGTGCGGAGACAAAATGCTTGTCACCCACAACATAAAGGAGGGGGTTATTTTGTTTCACAGTTTATGGAGATTTCAGTCTATATTTGACTGGTTCTGAGGCAAGGTGGTATGGCAGAGGCTCTCGGCAGAAGAGAAATAGTTCATGTCATGACAGGCAAGAAGCAGAAATCAAGGGAGGAAGACAGATATGTATTCCAGGCTATGCACCCAGTGACCCACCTCTTCCCACCAGACCTCACCTCCCAACATCACACCCAGCTGTAAACCCATCAGTGGACTAATCCAGAGATGAGTATCACACACTCGTGATCCGGTCACTTCCCCAAAGCCCCACTTATGAGTGCATGAGGCTTTTGGGGGGGCATCATAGATATAAACCATAATACTGTCCATATTCTCATTGGTGGATGTTTCTGTTTTGCTTTTATAAACTGTGCAAGTTAAAGCCCAGTCTTGGCAGCTTAGGAAGACCTTGTCTCAAATTTTTTAAAAAAAACAAAACTTTTTTTTTTAAGGGCTGGGGATGTAGCTCAGGGCAAAGGCCCTGGGTACAATCCCTAGCACTAGGGAAAAAAAAAAAACCTGCTGTTTCGAACATTTGTACCTGTCTCTTACAGTATATGTATAACAACTTATCTGTGTGTATGCTGAAGGATAGAGCTACTGAGAAAAAATATTTATGTTCAGTTTCATAATGCAAACCTTTCTAAAGTACTGGTACTGATTTTCACTCTTACCAGTAATATATTGATATTGTCAGACTTTAATTTTTGTTAATCTGGTAGATACAAAATGACATACAGATTTTAGCTTCCAGATCCCTAATCATTAATGATAATAAGCTCTTCGTGTCATTTGGCCATATATGTTTTACTCTTTTGTGAAATATAAGTCCTATTGTTCTCTTAAGTTGATTGTGCTTTTCTAAATAATTTGTAGAAGCCCTCTGTTGGTCAGATAACTTTCCTGTTTTAGAATGTCTTTCAATCAGTGTTATTTTTTGTCACTTAATTTTTTTAGTTAGGGAAAAATGAACCTTTTTTTCCCTTAAATTAGTATCTAGAGTAAATTTCTTCTGTATTATCTTCTCATTAGTGCCATGAGGATCACTGGAATTCTGAGGCCAGAGGGTGAAGAGGATTCACGTCTGGCTCCTATTCTGACCCTCTGGGTACCCAGGCAGTAGCCTGTGTGCTGTGCATGTTGAGATGCATATGCTGTTCATTTAAATGAGAGTTCTGTGATATTCTTCATGAAATCATTTAAAAACAATTATGTCTGTGAATTAGTGAGTTCCGTTTTATGGATAATTTCCAAGATCTCTAATTTACAATATCCGATCTTCTTTCTGAATGTCCAAATTAACTGCATAATATTTTAGCTTAAAAGTGTATTCTGAATTTATCCTTAGTCTCTAAAATAATTTACTCCAATTTCTTCTTCTTCTTTCTTTAAAGTTATTTGGTTAATACCATACTTATTACGGCAGAGTTGCTTATCTTTCCTTTAGAGAGAATTTTTGGCCCATTAAGGGGCTTTGACTGTTGGTAGAGAGGCAACAGCATTTAATTAGACTTCCATTTCACAGCTCTCCTGAAGATAGGGAAAGATAATTGCATTTACAGTGGCTCTAAAGTGGCTGTCCTTTTGTTCTCCTGTTTAAAAATTAAATTTCCTTCAATTATGTCTTTTCTTGGTGTTGATTTGCTGCCAGGTGGCAACTTGCGACAAGTCTGTTTGCTAAGACCCGGTTCCAGTTTGTCTGTCTTCTTTCACAATCCTGGGGTGCAGGCTGCATCTTCATACATGATGTGGTAGGGTCCTATCATGGCTCCAAGTTTGTTGAAGCACAAGCCCATTTTTCTTTTTCTTTTTTTTTTTTTTTTTGGATACCAGGGATTGAACTCGGGTCCTTGCCGCTTGCGCAGCAGGTGGCGAAACCACTGAGCTAAATCCCTGGCCCTCAAGCCTGCTTTTGAGGTGCACCTCACATTGTTTTGGGCTGTCATTTTCTCCATGCATCCTGTCCCCATGCACAGGGTGATCACATCCACGCCATACACCGACTCACATTCCTCGTCTTCCTGTTTAGCTTTATTTTGGTACTTGGCAGTTTATACTTCCTGCCTTTAAACTCAAGTTGGAAGTTGGGCTTAGGAAACTTTGATGCATCAGCAAACTATCATCTTTTAAAAAGCAGTTTTTTCAGAGAAGAGTGTAGGCAAAGAAGAGAAAACTATTGATTAAATTCTCATTTAGTCACTAACGGATTTTTTTTTAAAACAGAGTTATAGTTAACTTGGGTCAGAAAAGTAATCTAAAATACAGCCCTGGGTACACCGAGTTAGAAATTGCTAAAATAACACAGTTGCTTTCTCACATATGCTTAACGGGCATATGAACTCTTTAATTCACATTTATAGATTTGATGTTATACTCTTTAAGTATTAACCTGTTCTTTAATGTTGGCTCTATTAATACAATCACATGTCCCTTCTTGATGGGGATACTTTGTCTGGCTCCCATTAACGAATTGCTACATCCTCCCCTAAGCCTCCTCTTGTGTTTCCACTATGACAGGCACTACTCATTTGCCTAAGAGAGATGTAGTCTATACAGGCATGAAGAAATATAATCCTCTGATACTGAATTCTATATATTCTTCATCAATTTGGGGGCCACAGTTATTTCATTGGTCTGCTATGTTATCAGTCAGAGAATAATATCAGTATTCCAGCCCTTGACTTCAGAAAACAAAGAATTGATAGTAAAATAACATTCATTATGATAGCTTTCAACATTGTTTTTATAAAGATACACTTGAGTATTTTTTCTAGAAAATGCAGTACTAGAAATAAGATGTTCCATACAATTCTGTAAAACCAGTAATCATGAATTAGACACTATTACTCTTGAGTAGTATCCTGAAGAAATGAAATATTAGAAATAAGGTGTTACATACCATTCTGTAAAACTAGTGATAGTAAATTAGAAACTAATGAACCCACACATTGTCTACTCAACTTAAGAAGAAAAACATTATTAGTTACCCACAACTCCCAAACTCTCAATAGGCAGATCTTTTCCAGTATGCAGCATTAGCCATGTGGAAAGCCAGAAAGATCATCTAGAAGATGGTAACCCTGCCAGGATGACTCCTTTGGCCCATTCCTGACCCATAGTGTTACACAGGCTTATGATGCTATGTACGTGTTCTGTTAGGAAAGACCATTGTTTACCCTGATAACTGAGCTCCAAAGAAGGTAATAGCTGGCCTTTATGTAGAGCAATTTCAGAGCTGTTGTATATTTCCACAGTGGTGCTGTTGGTCTGTCTCTTCCCTGCTGGTCTTGGATGTAATTATCTACAAGAGATCTCTCTCTTTTTTTCTTTTTAAATTTTTTGTTTCAAACCCTGCAACTTAAGGTGCACATTTTGTACTGATAGATAGTAATTCTACATATTTAGAAGGCACAGTGTAATATTTTGGTACCTCTATATAATGTGTAGCGATTGGAGCAGGCTAATTGCGACATCAGTCAACCCAGCTAGTTATCCCTTCTTTGTGTTGGGACCTTTCAAAATTCTCTAGTAGCTATTTTGAAATGTACAATTAATTGTTGTCAAATATAGTTATCCTGCTGTGCCAAGAGCTTATCCTTCTTCTCCAGCCATACCCCCTGTACCCGGTTAGCCATCCTGTCTCTACCTTATTCTCTTTCCCAGGCTCTAGTAACAACTATTCTACTGTCTACACGGGAAAAGACATTTTTCTACTTTTCAGTCTCATACAAGTTCTTTTTTGTTCTTAATCTTCTACAGATTAAGGGATTTGGGCATTCTATTATTCTTCAGTAACTTTATAACTTTGTTTTAGAGGGAGTTATATAACACCCCCGCAGAAGCCATACTGAAGGGCTAATATTTGTTTTAAAATAGCATATCTTGAATTTGCTCTAGCTCTTGATGTCATACAAATGGATTAGTCCAACTGACTGACCCTGGTTGTTGTTCTCTAGATCTTTCCTTGGCCCAGTTGTGTTGTTTGTCTTGTTGTTGTTGTGTGTTATTTTCATGACCTCTGCTCGGATAAGTGACCAAACACATGCATTTTTTAAAAAGCCACATTAAAATAAGAATCCTTATTCCACTCATTCTGGCTTAGATTATCATTTATAGCAGGGAATTATTGCCTGCTATTTTTTTAAAAAGTGGAACAGCGTTTTGAACCAAGTTTCTGACAAGAAGCAAGACTTGGGTTTCTGGATATGTTAGAGCTGTTTTCGGTTACTGGTAAGAGAATTAATTGTCTTAAACAACTTCGTTCTCCCCAGGAACTTGATAAGGAATGAAGTACTCTATAGATACTCAATGTGTTGCTTTGGGAGTTTTTCTTCCCCAGCTCAGTTCACCAAGAACCTAGGTATTCAATAAATATGTTTATTTTTGTTTTTCTTACAGATCTTCTGTTCCCTATTGATATCACCCTGGTCAAGAGAGAGCATGACTTTTTGGACAGAGATGCTATTGAAGCCTTATGCAGGTCAGTGGACATGTTTTGAGAATTTTCATTTTCTTTAAAAGCATAGTCACTAGGGTTTGATTTCTTTTGTTCCAGTTAGGTCATCTTTGATTAGCAAATGGTACAGTGATATACTTTGCTATCAACCATAGACCTATTAATTTAAATGAAGGAAAATGTTGTATGTAATATTACCATTGAAATACCATTCACACTGTCTTCAGAGGTACTCAAATAGTAGTGTTTCATATTTTGATAATAGTACTATATTTTAACATTGATGGTTTTGAAACTCGGATTAGGATTTTTTAAAAGAGATGATGTGATTGACATTACATTGATTGACTTTGTAGCCCCAAGCAGGCATCCTAACAAAGTGAAAGCTGCTGATCTACTGAGTGGAAATAACACATTCAGAGTAACAAGGAGTGGGTCAGGGGTCATGACATAGTGGAGTCAAGATTATCATTTGAGTTCCAGGAAAGCTCCCTGTACCTTCTGGCTGCCTCAGCTGTACCATAGTAACTCCAGGATTAAATAGGCTGTAAAATAACTCAGCATGGTCTTTAACATATAGGAGACAGGCAGTAAATGAGCATTGATGCGAAAGTGAATAAAACTGTCGGAAGTCCTTGTTCACTGCTGGTGGCACTTTAGGCTGAGGAGCAGCTTGGAGGTTTTAGTGAAGTAGAAGCAATAAAATCTAAGATAGGCGATGATGGGGCAATGATTTTCCTTTCAAACACTTCATGACAGTTTTATTCATTTTAGATTATTCATCCTTCTTAATTTTTCTCCAAACCTAAAAGTCCTAACAGCTGAATTATGGGAGAAAAATTATATGTGAACAAAATTCTCATGTTGATTTGATTGTACATTTAAAATAAATTCTTTAATTTCGATATTTATTTTAACTTGGAAAATTATCATTAAGATAGAACAAATATTCAGCATTATTTTAACTTGGAAAATTATCATGAAGATAGAACAACATCCAGCATTTCTCACAGTGGTAGATAGGTTAAAGCATACTATCTTTTGCCTTTCTCACATAACACAGTGTTATTTGAAACAGCCAACTTAAGTAGTAGTTTAGGAGAATGGTAGGGTGTTTAGAATGGTATATAGAAAAGATTAGTTCTCGTGGTTTAAGAAAGAAAAATTACCATATTAACCACTGAAACACTGTCAACTTTTCAAGCAGAACTAAATGACTGCTTAAAAATATCCAGGGTATGCGCATGTTTTCTGGAAGAAAGCTAATTCCAAGTCCTGCAGCTGGAGTTATGTAATATCATAGTTATGTCATGTGGAGGGAAAAAATGTCACTAGTGCAGTTTGGGGAGGGAAAGAAGTCTGCATCTGGAATATAAACTACTCCAGACATTGTTAAAATGTTTTCCCACTTAGCTATGGAGCAGAATTAATTTATTTTCAATTCATCACTGGTGATGATGCATATGAATGAGGTCACTCAAAAAATACACCTTAAGAAATATTTGGTTGTGTGTCAGATCATCCATTTCACACATTTTAATCCATTTAGGGAGTGGGGCTTCTGAGTGGCATCAACAGCTTAGGAATTTCTGGGTCATAAAAGTATCACTGAAACATTTCAGGCCCAAGAACCATGATTCAATTTTTGAGTACTATTTTTCTGGCACCTTAGAGAATTGTCTTAAACGACTGTTCTCTCAAGGAACTTGATGAGGAATGAAGTGTTTCTATAGGCACTCAGTGTGTTGCTTTAGGAGTTTTTAATTTTTAAGTGCTTTTCTTTTTATGAAGGAAAGGGCATCCTCTGCACTTTGTAATTTACATAGGCTCTAAGTAGCACTGGAGAAATCACCTACTGTAGAAGAAAATCAATCTGTCCTCCTAGATCTTTTGTGAAAAGAAGGCCTAAAAGAAACTGGCCTTTGGTGGAAATCCAAACTGCCACATCTCCTGGTTAGGCTTTGATTTTCTGGTATGTAGAATAACAGCACAGGTGAGCTGTGAGAAGGAAACGCACTGATGGATGTCAGGTGCTTTAAAAATCAAACTGTCAGGCTCAGATTCGATTGCATTTTCCTTTTCAAAAAGAAATTCTTGAGAATTCATAGAAACAGTCATCCACTTGTTTGTAATGGGAAATCCAAAGGCCCTTAGCCACATGGTTGCATAAAAAGCCTGCATGGAAATGATTCCCCTTTTGAGAGGCCTGCACAGATGTTCAGGTAGAAAAAGATGGGAGCCATGGGCCCTCCTTTGAAATGCGTTACAAGTTCTGAGCTGTCCAGAGCATAGCTGGGATACTTCTTTTGCTGATTATGTGATATTCAGCTCATTTGCTAGACCTGCCTCTTCCACATATCTTCTCAGCCTGTAGCGTTCCAGGGCCAGCAAATAATATAGCTGTAGTACGGTTTGAAAGTTCACCTTGTGGTCCGTGAAACTGTCTCTGGATTGAAAAGCTTTTTGTGGAAATCTTATCTTTTGCTTTGATGCACTATTTTGAAAAGATGATTTAAAAGATGTGTCCTACCGTAGCTGCAGAAAACTATTTTAAAAGCTGCATAGCATCTTGGGATTTCTTTTCCCCACCACTCCTCTTCCCTTGTATTGGACCATATTTTAGGCATGGATGGTAGAAATAGCCTTGTGAATACAATAATGTTCTGTTTTGTTAAAAATTTATACTCCTATAACATTTGCAAGCCATATAACTTTTAATCAAAAAGCTGGAAGAACCCAATCTCTTAAAATTTTCTACTCAGGGCAGAAGACTTGTAGATGTAATTGGGGTTTTTGGAGAACAATAATATTGTTTAGAATTTAAAGTTTGGTAATCTCCATAAATTGTAATTATGGGGCTGGGGGTGTAGCTCCATGGCAGAGCCCTTGCCTAGCATTTGTGAGGTTCTGGATTCAATCCCCAGTACCAAAAAACAAACAAAAAAAAAACAGGAAAAATTATAATTATGAGGCTACTAGATTGGATTTCAGTTGCACTATAACGTGTTTATTTCTTCCTTGAAGAAATTGTCATTTGCTGACCGACCCAGTGATAAGGCCATGATTATGAGAGCTATTCTCAGTATATGGAGGGCCGATCAGCTTGTCTTGAAGCATATGCAGATATGTGAACTGTGACTGACTACTAGGTTACCTCTTGTGAAATGTTGTCTTCTTATGGCTTCAGAAATATTCCAAATTGCTATTTTCTTTTGGAATTAAAACTGACTCCTATAAACACATCAAAGAATTATGAACATGAAATGATAATTATAGAATGAAAAATAGCTAACCACACTGTCATCCTTGATGTGCACTCTGTTTTCAGACAGCCTTGAGCTGGGCATGGTGGCGCAAGCCTGTAATCCCCGTGTTTTGGGGGAGACCAGGGTAGGAAGATTGCAAGTTCAAGTCCTGCTTGGGAAATTTAGGGGAGACCCTGGCTCAAAATAAACAAAAAGGCCTGGTGTTGTAGCTCAGTGGGAAGGCCCACTTCATCTAGCCCCAGTTCATCTAGCTAGAACTATTTTTCACACTTGATCTTAGCCAAAAGGCCGAGAAGTGATTAGAACTATTTTTTAATTTTAATTCACATAAAATAAGTGAACATATTTATGGGCTACAGTGTGATATTTTAACACATACATACAATAAGTAATGATCAAATCCTGGTAAATAGCATATCCATCAGCTCGTATATTTATCATTTCTTGTATTGGGAACATTCAATGTCCCTCCTACTAGCTATTTTGAAATATTCCATAAATTTATGTTAACTAGTCATCTTATCATGTTATAAACCACTCTGGAACTTATTCTTCTATCCATTCAATAATTTTTTAAAACATTTGTTTTGCTCATAAGAAAAGATCTTTAAGAAATGAAATGATCTTTGTCATGTCCTACTTGGAAAATTGTTTGTTTTCCTTTTTCCTTCTTCTAAGACAACCCCTATAACCCTCCTCCATTCTTCCTCTCTCCCCTTCCCAGCTTCTGGTAATCACTATTCCACTGTACTTCTGAGACCAACTTATTTTCTAGCTAGAACTACTATTTAATGCCAGCATCATCTCTCTTTAAGTAACTAACAACTCTGTAAGGTCCTACAAGTAAGCATTTTTTTTGTAGGTCCAAGGGACAAATAAAAACCACAGAAACCCCAGGGAATAACTCTGTGGTCCAGAACTGCAGTGTCATTAGCCTGGTACTACCAACATAAAAAGATAAAGTTGACCTTTATAAAACTGGCCTCCTGGGTCGTTTTTTTAATTTGACTTAAATCTAGAGTTTGTGAAGTGAACTCCCTCCCCCAGTCCCCATAGGCCTCTGTGCCTAGTAAATTTGGTTATAAACACCATTCAACCATTAAAGCCCAAATAAAGTGAAGTGAGTATTTGATTACAGATTTGATTAATGCAACCCAGACCTAAACATTCTGACTGTAAACATTCCAGATTTTTTAAATCTTGAACACATTTGAGACCTAAAACATTGTGAGTGTAAGTCATTTAAGTAATTGATGCCCCTTGAGACAGGCATTGTACTCACTCATTTTTAAAGTCTGCAGACTTTTTCTCAATTTGTTTTCCTTCCTTCCCCATCAACAGAGTGAATTTTCCTGAACAGAGCCAATCTGCCTTATCTGTTTATTTTATAAATATGCTTCAACGTAATCTATGAAATCAAAGGCAGGCTTATCAATCAGGCAGAAATACTTTCTATCCTGGTGCATCAAAGTTGTCAGACAAATTGCAAGAATGGGATCAGGAACATAAAGCCTTGAAGAGAATACACAACCAATTTAAGTATGTGGGAATTAGATGTTCTTATCCCATGAAAATGTAAGAATTAAAATTTTAGGAAAACTAGAAAACTACTGAGAAGATTCATATGAGGCAGCAAATGAACATATTAAAGATTGGTCTGAGGAAGACTCAAGTGTTAGCCTCCTGGAAGATAATAGAAAGAATCAAAGCCTGGAGGCCAGTTTGTCGTATGTATTTAGGGTGTCTACTTAACTATTTCATTATTTTTCCTGTAAGATTTTTGTTTTTTAGCATTTCATTTATGAAAGTAAATTATTTCCCTAAGTTTATGTTTGTTTGTTTGTTTGTTTGTTTGCAGTGCTGGGGATCAAACCCAGTATTTTGTACATGCTAGGCAAACACTACAACTGAGCTACACCCCAGTGCTATTTCCCTAGTTTTAAATTGACATTACTATTTGGCAAGGGTATTCAAAGTTTCAATATAATTCCTTCTCCAAAGAAGAATCTTGACTAAGTGCTTATTTTTGAGTTCTGTCAGATTTTTTGATCATTGACATTAAAGAATACAAATTTTTTAAATAATCATTTGTACTATTGCCATCCCTATGCTAAACATTATTCTCTTCTTGTCAGGAAGTTATAAAAACACTGGGTATTAAGAGGCCTCAAACTTGCCCTCTGTACAAGAAACCCAAAATTTTAAAAAGCTGTCTTGAGATTATTATTTGGAGATAACTAAATCATAGTTTTTATTCAAATTTTGATGTGAGATAAAGTACACTGTTTGTGGGGTTGACATCTCTGCATCGTTCCTCACTATTCTTGTTTCTGTGAAAAGTGACATGGTAGGCTCTTATTTCTTGCCATGGAGCCTTCCTAATTGCAGTTACCTACTGGCTCAGCCTGGGAGTTATTAGAAGAATTAAAGGCACTTGACAAGTGTCATTGCAGTGTACCATTTTGCTGCATAATAGTAAAAAAATAAATTTAAATGAAAATCTTAGGAAATACAAAGGAAGGTTCTAATGCTCATCTAAATTGTTAAGGTTAATGAGTTAAAAAACTTATTGAATATGTTATTTCTTTGGAAAATGTATTTATTTATCCATTAGTGGTTTCTTTTCTTTGCTAATGTTATTTCTTTGTTCTGTAGGCGTCTGAATACTTTAAACAAATGTGCAGTAATGAAGCTAGAAATTAGCCCTCATCGGAAAAGAGTGAGTATATAAAATATATGATAAGCTAGAGGGGGGATAAAAGGCAAATCATAAATAAGATTATTTATTTTCTGATGGGTTTTGCTTCCCAAACTCTTATTTTTTTGTTCCCAAAGCATCTCCCTTTTCAATGTTGTAATCCAATCAAATTCACCAAAGACTAAGTCTTAGGTAGTTGAAACCAGGAGTTGTAGCCTGCCAATAGATTGTTTTATCTACTGCTTTTGACCTGCAGAAATCATCTATTATTTTCTCTAATTAATTCGATGCCTACTATGTAATAAAGGATAAGGCTAAATGAACCCCAGAAGATCTTCGCACTCACTGCTTGCTAGAGAAAGTAAAGCTAACATTCTTTAAGAACTCTGCAGTCTTCCCAAATAAAACAGTAACTACATTTCAAAGCTGTCAAGATGAAAGGCGATATTGAATAATAATAAGCTATTTGAAGGGAGGAGAGGAATTGGGGGAGGATGTGGAGAGGGTAAGAAACCCCACACATTTCAGTCAGTGGTGGAAGTAACTGAATTTAGATGGTATTTTCTTCTGTGTATGAGTTGTGAGGCTCTTTTATGAGATCTTAAGAGAAAAGGTGGGGGTAGCACTGGGAGTTAGTGTCACAGATTAGAGTAAACAGGAATAAGTTTGTCAAAGAACATATTTCTGAGGGTTTGGAGCACACATTTTAATTATCCTAGAGTCCTTGACATGCAATAAGTTGCCTCCTTGGGAAGTGAAACTTTTTAAACAAATGAACTGTGACCTTAGCATCCACTGAGGTGTGCAGAAAAGTCTCCAAATCACTGTTTAATGCTCTCTACTCACTGTCCTGTGAAACTTGGGCTATATGATATTTTCTGCCCTGGTGCAAAGATACTATCATATTGGATTGTGCCTTTTGATATCCCACCTGAAAGGGCAGGATGCAACAGCCTGTGACAGCAAGTTCCTGAGTCCTACAAGTAAATCAGGCGCAATCATGAAAGATGTTCTTAGTGTTTACAAATGTCCCGTGCTGTCGGACTGGCTATTTGTGAAGCCTTGTCAGATTGCCAGGAGCCTGCCTGAGGTACAAAATGCAGGGATAGTGGTGACATAAGCCCAGGTGGGGTGGGGGAGAAAAAGAACAAATAAGAGGTGACACTGTGTTGGCCTGGGGCATCTGATGGCTCATCTGGCTTGCTCCATTAATTTAGTATAAAATCTTGAGATTTGGGAGATGATTAAATCTCTAAGTTGCCAGTCTTCTTACTGTTTGAAAACTACCTTTTTAATTGCAAAGAGGAATATAAACACATACTATCAATGGATAGCAAAACTGAAGTTGGTCCAGAGAGAGTCCCACAGTTGCTGACTCCAGTCCAAAATATTTTGCATGCCTGGAATTTTCACAAATCTCTGAGGTTTCCTCTGTGAAAAACTAAAGAACACCCTATAGCTCTCAGAGTTTTCATAAAATACCTGAATTAGCTTATAACACCTCACCAGATTTTCTCCTCTTAGACTCTTTAAATTCATCGTTGTTACTTTAACAAAAAGTAAGAAAGAAGGGGAGAATTGATAATTGGTGACTTCTTTAGAGCAGTCTCCTAGCCCTCAGCAAGTCCCTTGGCCCCTGCTGCCCACCAGTCCCAGTGTATGAATGGCTCTGTTATGTCTTTGCAGAGTGAGGATTCAGATGAAGATGAGCCTTGTGCAATAAGTGGCAAATGGACTTTCCAGAGGGACAGTAAGAGGTGGTCCCGGCTTGAAGAATTTGACGTCTTTTCTCCAAAGCAGGACCCAATCCCAGGGTCCCCAGATGATTCCCACCTGAAGAATGCCATGAGCAATGAGAGCATGCTGACTGACCTTAGCGAGCACCAGGAGGTGTCTTCTGTCCGAAGCCTGAGTAGCACTAGCAGTGTCCCCACCCATGTGCCCCACAGTGGGGAAGCTGCAACACCCCGGACTAACTCTGTCATCAGCGTCTGCTCCTCCAGCCACTTTACAGGCAACGACGACTCTTTCTGCAGCCTGCCCTCTCCCAAAGAACTGTCCAGCTTCAACTTTACCATGAAAGGCCATGAGAAGAGCGCCAAGTCCAAGACCCGGAGCCTGCTGAAACGGATGGAGAGCCTGAAGCTCAAGGGCTCCCACCACAGCAAACACAAAGCACCCTCCAAGCTGGGGCTCGTCATCAGCAGCCCCATTCTGCAAGAAGGGATTGACGAGGAGAAGCTGAAGCAGCTGAACTGCGTGGAGATCTCAGCTCTTAATGGCAACCACATCAACATCCCCATGGTACGAAAGAGAAGCGTATCCAACTCCACACAGACCAGCAGCAGCAGCAGCCAGTCAGAAACCAGCAGTGCAGTCAGCACACCCAGCCCCGTCACCAGGACTCGCAGCCTCAGCGCATGCAACAAGCGGGTGGGCATGTACCTTGAGGGTTTTGATCCTTTCAGTCAGGCTGCATTTAACAGTGTGATGGAGCACAACTTTAAGAACCAGGAGAGGTACCCGGAAGACATGGTGTTCTACATCCCTGAAGATCACAAGCCTGGCACCTTCCCCAAGGCCCTCTCCAGCAGCAGCTTCTGTCCCATGGGGAATAACAGCTCTGTGAACTGGAGGACTGGAAGCTTCCATGGCCCCAGCCACATCAGCCTAAGGAGAGAAAACAGCAATGACAACCCTAAGGAACTTAAGAGACACAACTCCTCCAGCTCCATGAGCAGCCGCCTGAGTATCTATGACAATGTGCCAGGCTCCATCCTCTACTCCAGCTCGGGTGACCTGGCTGACCTGGAGAATGAGGACATTTTCCCTGAGCTGGATGACATCCTCTACCATGTGAAGGGGATGCAGCGCATAGTCAACCAGTGGTCTGAGAAGTTTTCAGATGAGGGAGATTCCGACTCAGCCTTGGACTCTGTCTCTCCTTGTCCATCGTCTCCGAAACAGATACACTTGGATGGAGACCATGACCGAGTCACCCCCAGTGACCTGGACAGCACAGGCAACTCCCTGAATGAGCCTGAAGAGCCTGCTGACATTCCAGAGAGAAGGGACTCTGGGGTGGGGGCCTCCCTGACCAGGTGCAACAGGTGAGAGCCACGCTCCTCCTCCTCTGGGCTGGGGGGTCGGCAGGCAGAATGGTATTGCTTCCTCTGGCTCTGCGGGAGGACATGGAATGGACGCTGGCATTCACAGCCGTGTGATTCCTAAGGAAGATGTCACACCGGGAGACCCCAGCATTCAGAAAGAAGGGGTAGTATTTAGTGGGTACTGACTCTGTTGGGTAAGATTTAATAAATGGAGGTGGAGAGTGGTCATCATCAGTGACGACATCACTGGTCACAACAGTGTGAGTGAATTTAATGCCATGGAACTGTGTAGATAAAAATGGTTGAATGGCATATTTTGTGTGAAGTCCAGCCAGCCCTCCTTATCCACAGGTTCACTCTGCATCTATAGTTTCAATCAACTATAGATCAAAAATATTTGGGAAAACAAATTGTGTCTGTGCTGAACATTTATTCAATTTTTTTTTACCATTATTCCCTAAATAGTACAATACGATAACTAATTACAAAGCATTTACAGGGTCTTAGATATTATAAGTAATCTAGAGATGATTTAAACTGAACAAGAGGAGCCAGGCATGGTGGTACATGGCTGTAATCCCAGCATTCTGGCAGGCTGAGGCAAGAGGGTCACAAGTTTGATCCCAGCCTGGGCAGTTCAGTGACTTAGCAAGACCCTGTCTCAAAAATTGAAAATAAAAAAGGTTGGAGATGTAGCTCAGTGCAGAGGCCTTGGGCTCAATCCCCAGTACATCAACAACAGGAGGATCCACATAGGATAGGTTCTATGCAAACATGCCATCTTCTACAAGGGCCGTGAGCATCTGTGGATGTGGCCATCCCAGAGAGTCCTGGAAGCAACTTCCCACCCCTGTTAATACCTAGGGATGACTGTACATTTTACCACAGGGGGATAACAGGACTGGCATGGCAATTGAGACCTCTCACTCCCTAAGATGCCAGCAAGCAGCCCATGGCCGATTTTGCATTTACTGTTCAAAAGCTCCTGTGCTCACTCCCTTTGCCCTGTTCTCTTCCAGACACAGAGTGAGATGGCACAGTTTCCAGAGTTTTCATCGGCCGAGCCTAAACTCTGTATCTCTGCAGATTAATTGCCAATCTGTGGCCCAGATGAACCTACTGCAAAAATATTCACTCCTGAAGTTGACGGCCTTGCTGGAAAAATACACACCTTCTAACAAGCATGGTTTTAGCTGGTAAGAGCTTGAACTTCTTGGTAAAGTGTCTCTGTGAATGATATATTTGGTCAGCTCCTTGAGGCCATCTCAACACTTAAGAATATGACAGTTGTGTCCTTTATTAATATCTAGTCAACAGTCTTCATGCAGTCTGCATTCTTAGGCAGCATTCAGTAATGCGGAAGCTGGTGGGATTTTAGGGAATTAGCAAGGTGCTTAGATTGAGTTATCTTCTCTTGGAATGACAGGTTGCCTGTTGATGGTGTTGAAAATGTATTCTCATATCAGATGGTACAGGCACCTCCTTTCCAGTAGTAGAAATAACCCATAATAGGTAAATATGTATATAATATCAGATCATATTTATGAAAGGAAAGAAAGAAAAATGTTAAGATATCATGCGATCATCCTTGAAATGCTTGATGTCCATTACCTGGCCATTTGAAATCATTTTTGATATGAACATTTGAAGGATCACTCAAAAATCTACATATACAAAAGTGTTTAGTATTTTTTCCATCAAAGAGATTCATTTAAGAAATGCACTGTAAAGTATTATAGACAAATATATAAATACAGGTGAAATTTACTGGATGACTTCTTCAGAATTACTTTTCAAAATACAGCCCTGTGTGTGACAATGTGGGACACAGCCTATTAGGCTGGATGGGCTGAGTGTGCTCAAATCTGTGTACATACTCATTTTTCTCCTCTTTGTGCAAAGCCAAGAATTGCCTCTCGATTGACATCTCAGTGCATTTTTCAATGTCAGCTGGATGTCCTTGAGTCTTTTCACTCATGGGCGTGTTTGTTATCCAGTTGTTATGAAAAACAGAGAAGCAGCCTATTTCAAGAGAGTTCTTTGTAACAGACCAAAGTTGCTTGAGAGTCTGCAGAGCCAGGCAGCTGATCTTGCTGTCTCCACTCCTCCCTCCTCGAGATGCTCAGTGAGCAGAGCTGCAGCATCAAAGCACCTCTGTGCAAAGGCAGTTATTATGAGAGCCTCACCAAATACAGAAGTTGTCTGTTCTGAATGACAGAAATAGGTATTGACCAGTTTATCCTCACATGCTTCAGATTCTCGGTGGGGAGCATAATGTGTTCTTTCCACATTCCGCAGCCAGGCTTTTCTGCCCCAACAAAGTAAGTATTATGCACACTTCTAGCCATAGTACCATACACTTAACTGTATGGAAATACAAATTTGGCTGTGCTCTTTAGCTTTACCTTTCCTAGAGCTATAAACGGTACTCTGTCCTGACTGGTGGGAAGTACTCAAAAATCAAGGCGGCAAGCGGTCGGTCTTCTGCAGTGTTCCTTTGTGCTTTGGGGTAATATTTTCCCTTGTGGCTATTTAAAATTGCATATTTTAGATTCTCCTTTCTAAAGAGCTCCCCGCACCCTTCCCACCAAACCCTCAAGAATCTTAAAGTCCATAATACTTCTTGAGTTCTGGTCAGTTTTTCCAGCGAGTCAAAACCAAATGTAAAAGCCTGACATTGTGGGACTCATGTTGTAGGGGAAAATTCTGCCCTAAGTTTCTTTCTTGTTTGCCCTTGCCCTTTCTTGTCTCACCCAGAAGGGTCATCTGTAGAGCTCAGATGTCTGCTTGACAGCCTTAAATGTATGACATGAGCTTCCTGCTGCTTCACTGCTGGGGGTGGAGCTGGTTTTAGAACTCCAAGGAGCCTGGAGTAAGCTCACAAAACCCCCATTGTTCCGTTTCCTTGCTCCCTTAGAAACCTGAAGATTCTATATTCTCTGGGATCATCAGCAGGGTCCTTCACTGTTCGGCTGTAGACTTGGGTCTTAATATATTAGACCAAAGTCATGTATTAGCTGTTTTCTCATGCACCATTACCTGAATCTTTTACCCCAACTTCCTTGAATCTTGTTTTTTCAAACTCTACCAAAAGTACCTAATTGGAGTCTTACATGTTTTCTGCTTCTATTCTTACTTGTACCACTTTGTGAGGAAGCCCATCAGGTCCCTTCAGAATACAGCCTCCAGTTTCCAAGGCCAACAGTAAAAGGACAATGCCCAGCCAAGGAAACGTGACTGGGCCTCACAACACTAATACGTAGAAGAGCTAGAACAGAACTTGTCAGTGATGGTGGGGAGATTCTGTAATTGCACAGTCCAGTGCAGTACCTACTGGCTACAAATGGCCACTGAGTCCTCGAAACGTGGCTGGTACGGCCAAGAAACTGAATCGGTCACTTTATGCCATTTAAATGTAATTGCTGTTTTAGCAGAAACTAGGGCTTACCTGCAGAGAAGGGCAAGTATAGACTGTCAAATAAACACATCTCCCACCACCGTATTCTTTAAACAGGGCTGTGCCCAAGTTCATGAAAAGGATCAAAGTTCCGGACTACAAGGACCGAAGTGTGTTCGGGGTCCCTCTGACGGTCATTGTGCAGCGCACAGGACAGCCCTTGCCTCAGAGCATCCAGCAGGCTATGCGCTACCTCCGCAACCACTGTCTGGACCAGGTGAGGCCGCTGTCTGTGGGTCCCATGACATTGTGCGAGCTCAGCTCCATGCTCCTTGTCCTAGGACTGTCCTAGGGAAAATGTTCTTCCATCCCAGCGCCTAATGTTTTCTTTCCAAAAGGTCGGGCTCTTCAGAAAATCGGGCGTCAAATCCCGGATCCAGGCTCTGCGCCAGATGAACGAGAGTGCCATGGATTGTGTCAGCTATGAAGGGCAGTCTGCTTATGACGTGGCAGACATGCTGAAGCAGTATTTTCGAGATCTTCCTGAGCCACTGATGACAAACAAGCTCTCGGAGACCTTTCTACAGATCTACCAATGTGAGTGCTCTTGGGTATCAAGGTTGTTGACTTTGGGAGAAAATGGGACCAACTAAAGCTTACAGCTTCCTTTGATGTTATTTTGACAAGAAGACCTGTGTGGTAATCTCTTGGAAACATGTGCCAGCAATTTCTTCCCTGCCCTCTTGTTTGGAGAACAGATTTCTGAGTACTTATTCATTTATGAGAATATAAATTGCCCTTATCATTAGACTATAATGGCTGAAGCAGTTGTATATTTTTACATTCTGATCCAGCTTCTTTTGTTTCCAGAACAGTGTTATCTAAGATGCTGAAAGAGCAGGTACCAAGATCAATCTCTCTTTCTCTCTCTCTCAATTTCAGTTCTATTATATCTCTCTAGCAGGCCCATTGTATTTAAAACTTCACTGGTGTCCGAGTGTTTTATCTCACTGTAAAATGAATAAATAATCTTTTTCTGTTATTCATCAGAGTCCCTGCCAGGAATACTTGGGAAAACAATACCCATGCCCTTCTCACTTTTAAGAAAAGTTAAAGCAAACAGCTGTTGAAATTAATGATCAAGAGCAGGATCATAGCTTTCGCAGCCTTGTGTTTTTCTTGGCACAGAGTGGTATTACAGCAACATGATTTAAAAGCAGCTTCTCTAGGTGCTGAAATTGTCTATAGAGCTGGTGTGTTGGACTTCATTTTATGAGAAATGAAGCTGGTCTGGATTATTTCATTATTTGTTTCATCCTTTCATATTTTATGAAAACACAGGTCACATTTTCCCCACCAAGGTATTTGTTATGTATTGTAACCATGGAGCTGTTTAATCTGTGTCCTATGGCACTGCATTTGAGTGACTTGATATTTTTTCCACTACTTACTTTTTAAAAGGTTTGTCTAGTAAAGGAGATCCAAAAGTTAGGCTCAGCACTGCCTGATATAGATTATTGTATAGGTTTATTTGCCTTTTATATATTTCCATAATTATATGCACTTATATAATCACATCTTGGTGTGGTTTCTAAAACTTTGGGCAAAGCAATCTGTTGTTGAAATTGACTGAATAGTCTAACAATTTCTGCCGTTTCAAGAATGAGCAACTCAGTTAAAATTCCGAATGTCCCCAAAGATAGTGAACTGTTTATAAAAGTCAATACTCAGAGATCTCAGTTCTTGTCCCTTTGTATATAGATATAAGATCTTTCATTGAAACTAGAGGCTAATCTTATAATGATTTCAATAACAGATTGTAAATTTTGGATTTTTTTAAAAATGGGCTTACAAGAGGCTTTTGTTCTATAAACTAAAAGGACAGGAATCATCTAGAGCTGACGTCTGAGGTGGATTTAGGAGTGTAGTGGTATATATGGGATGTTTGAAATTTTTTAACTCTTCCAAGAGGCAGGAAATACTTGAGGGTAGGAACACTGGTGGCAGTCCATAATTTCTTCCTTACTAACCTCTAGTAAGCTCTCTGCAAATGCTTGTTCCGTATTTGATACTGATGTTTGCTTTGGGACATTCCCCTGCCATGTACGTGTGGAAAATCACTGACCTGATGGGGGTGCTTGTGCCCTGCAGATGTTCCCAAGGACCAGCGCCTCCAGGCTATTAAGGCTGCCATTATGCTCCTGCCTGATGAGAACCGTGAAGTTCTTCAGACACTCCTGTACTTCCTGAGTGACGTCACAGCAGCTGTAAAAGAAAACCAGATGACTCCCACCAACCTGGCCGTGTGCTTGGCGCCATCCCTCTTCCACCTCAACACCCTGAAGAGAGAGAATTCCTCTCCCAGGTACAGGTCAGACAGGAGGTGGCACACACTCTGTTCTTCAGACTGAAGCAGCTCTCTCCTTCTGAGGCTGCCACTATATTCTTGTTGGCTTCTTACCTAAATCAAGTGAAACTGAGACCTCCTTCATTCACAGCCCATGAGGCTGCCCTACACTTTTCCTCTCAGTCCTTTCTACAAAGTGTGCCTTAATATTTCTAGCAATCCTGTAACAACTGGGTTTTTGATAAAACACTGGTTGGTGCTTTGATATGGCCAGTGTTTATGCCAAGGCAAAGGATAATGGCACTGTGCTTTCTTCCAGCAGAGAACCATGCAGGTTTACTAGTCAAAACCTGCATGGATGACCCCTGTTGTCTTGCCTCTGCATGGTTGATAAGCCAAACTTTGTAGCCTGTGCCCCAAGCTAAAATAACCAGATCTTAAAGAACAAAGGATAATATTGGGCCTTAAGGTTTCTCTACTCGGATCTGGCCTAAGTTCTGCCTAGAATACATATCTACAAATGGGACAGAATGTGGAGAAACTCAAGGAATCTGAAAAATAACCAAAGATGATACTTGCTAGGCACCTGTTTGGGGCCTAGAACAGGACTTTTCTCATTGATACTTAATTTAATCATTATAACAATCATAAGTGAAGAACTTGAGTCCATAAGAAGAAAGTGAGGGGTAAGGGAAGATCAGCTCAGTAAGTAACTTGTCTGTATCTGATAGGCAGAAATAGCAGAGCCAATCTGAGCTTCTAACTTAGGTGAATATTTCATGTAAGGAACTCCTGTTGAAGTGTAAAAGGAAGTGGTGAATAACTGGACTTACTCCCCATAGTAAGTCCCCCACCTGATCCTTCTCTCAGATCTGAAGGAACCTAAGGCCTAATTATGCTAGTTGAAGTTTTCTTTGTTCCTGAAAGAGATACAATGCTTTAAGTACCCTTTCATCTATTTCTAAAAGTTTGCTAAGGCATTCCAGCAACTTTAATGGGATTGAGAACCAGAGATGAGTAGGAGATAAGAATAAGACACCACCTCCAGGAAACAATAGATGCATCCCTCACCTATGGAAGGGGATCCTGTTTATTTACAGAGTAAGAATAATGACCTGCAACTCAGAGTTCCCACCCTGCACCCGTTGTTCTCCAACATAAACACAGAGACACAGTTCTCACAAGCTATGAGAAAGGAACTTGTTTAATCAAATGGCTTTAATTAGCCTGGATTTCATTAAAAAAAGGTCTCTTTAGTGTTGTGTGTGTGTATGCTGACAAAACTTCAGTAACTCTGGTGAACAAAATAAAAGCGCTCTTAAACCACTTAACAACAAATAGACCCCAGGGAAGTGTTTTTTCTCCCCTTTGAGTTTCCTCAAGTTATGCACTGATGAAAAATACATACATATTTGACTCATTTCTCTCCTTTGTTTCTTCTACCTAGGGTAATGCAAAGAAAACAAAGTTTGGGCAAACCAGATCAGAAAGACTTGAATGAAAACCTAGCTGCCACTCAAGGGCTGGCCCATATGATTGCAGAGTGCAAGAAGCTTTTCCAGGTGAGTTCTGAGAAACCATGCTTTGATCAGTGTAAGCCCTGTCTTAGTTACCTGCCCTCCTACTCTAACTTTGCAAAGAAGAAAGCCTTGCACAAGAATACGTGTTTTAGGCATGTGTGTGAAGCTGGTCTGTCTATATCTTCACGAACCATGTGAAGTCAGAAGGGACCCCCCTCCCACCATCATCTGTTGAATACAGAGGTTGATCGGCCTCTACCACCTTGAGGATCCAGGCCTTCGCTTATGCTCACAGATGGACGCTGAGAGTGAACACAGGTGGACTCACCCACCACGTTTGTGTCTCCCAGGTGCCTGAGGAAATGAGCCGATGTCGCAATTCCTACACAGAGCAAGAGCTGAAGCCCCTCACACTGGAGGCATTGGGACACCTGAGCAACAACCAGTCTGCTGACTACAAACACTTCCTCCAGGACTGTGTGGATGGCCTGTTCAAGGAGGTAAAAGAGAAGTTTAAAGGCTGGGTCAACTACTCCACTTCTGAGCAGGCCGAGCTGTCCTATAAGAAGGTAAGTCTCTCCCTCTTGACCACTTCTGCTCGCCCATGCTCAGGGCTTAGGTTCATCAGAGATAAGACTCCATGGGAATCTAGCCCAGACCCATCCTTAGAGAACTCTGCAGGCATGTGATTCAGATTCCCAGGTAAGAGTGGAAACCAGTCACATAAGGACTAATACTCTTTTACTTGAGAAGATTTCCGTCTACTTCTAATGAAATTGTTTGTTTCTACAGAATCAAACTAGTTTCTTAGAATGTTTTACTAAAGCTTTTAAAGGGGCACTTTAAGGCATTCTTAAAATTTTCTAAAATTTGGTGAGAGTCCCTTTGCATGCCCATCTTTTCTTAGATAGTCTACTTTGGGCATCCTCTATGGCTCATCACAATAGGTCCGTAGAGGTATTTGTTGACAGTATTTCTTTACCACCTTGAAAATAAATGGAATGGTCTGTATGGTCATATGGGCATTGGAGTGTAAATAAATGAATGATCATACTCTTATCACACTCACCCTATGGATCCCTGAAAAACAAATGTCATGATTTTAACCAGAGTGGATGCCAGCTATTTTGTTTGCTTCCTGGCCTATTTCTGAATGTACTTAGGGAAGCTGATTACTATCATAAATGTATTAACCTCTGAAAACAAGACTATGTCCCCACTTATAATTTGCCTTCCTAAGTCAAGATGTGTGCCTTGTCTGAACACTGAGAAATGCATCATCTTTACAGGTGAGTGAAGGACCCCCTCTAAGGCTTTGGAGATCAACCATTGAAGTCCCTGCTATGCCTGAGGAAATCTTAAAGCGCCTTCTGAAAGAGCAGCACCTCTGGGATGTAGACCTATTGGATTCAAAAGTAATTGAAATCCTGGACAACCAGACTGAAATCTACCAGTATGTCCAGAACAGTATGGCACCCCACCCTGCTCGCGACTATGTGGTACTGAGGTGAGATCTTCCAAACTGGTTACTGTACACAGATGACTAAATATCAGAACTGAGCCTATATATATATCACTGAATCTTATAAGATGTTTACTTAAAATGAAACAGGCCTCTAGAAACGTGGTGAGCCCTTCCAGATATAGAAAACCTGTAAAGAAAATAGGTCTATATTTATTCCAACAAGGCATTCATCACTGAAAATGCTTGTAACTCTTTTGGAACTGAGCTCAGAAAGAAAGACATAATTGAAATTGATAGGCTCTTTTGTAGCAGATTTTTGTCCCTTTTAGGATGATTATTCTGGCTAGAAATAGCTAGCGAATGAATAAACCAGGAAATAACATTTGGGTCCCAAGTGAGATACAGTTAATGCTGATTTACTTGGGATTGATAAAATCTCTAGAGACATTATTGAAAGAGAAATTCCAAAAATCTTTGAGGAAATGTCATAATCGTTTATCCAGAATGTTTCAAACAGAGCAGTGTTTGTTTGGGTGTCCATGTTCTAAGACATTCATGGAATGTAACAATGGTTTTTAGCAACACTTCATGTTGGTTTTTGTGTTTGCCAGCATTCTGCCATTGTGACAAAATACCTGAAGGAACAATTTAAGGAGGAAAAGTTTATTTTGGTTCATGATTTTAGGGGTTTCAGTCCTGATCCACTGGCTCCATTACTTTGAGCCTTAGGTAAAGCAGAACATCATAACAACAGGATCACGTAAAGGAGGAGACTGCTCACCTCATGTCAGCCAGGAAACAGAGAGATCACATATAGTCCCCAAAGACATACCCCTATGCCCTTCAGCTTGGCCCTAGCACCTATTTCTATCACCTCCTAATAATGACACCAAATGATACATCCATCATTGGATTAACCCACTGATCATATTATAACCCTCATGAGCCAATCACCCTCCAAAAGCCCTACCTCTGAATGGCAAATTATAACAGTTCTTTTTTCCAAGAGATGACTGAGCACATATGCCCTCAGTAAAAGGGATTCTGTATGGAGTAATTCATTCTGAAGTCTGTATGTGGTGGTCTAGAAGATACCATTTACCCAGTATGTGTCACATGTGGCACTGAGCCTGGCCCTTAACTGTCTCATCGGAATAAGGCAACATTTTCAATTTGGCTTCTAAGAAATCTCATTTTCTGCCTCTGGTTTTGTCTCCACAGAACCTGGAGGACTAATCTGCCCAAGGGAGCATGTGCCCTTTTACTCACCTCTGTGGATCATGACCGGGCACCTGTTGTGGGCGTGAGGGTTAATGTGCTCCTGTCCAGGTATTTGATTGAACCCTGTGGGTCAGGAAAATCCAAACTCACCTACATGTGCAGAGCTGATTTAAGGTAAGTTCTGATTCTGACTTTTTGACAGAGTTGTCCAATGAAGAAGATTCATACTTTTTTGTGTGTTGTAAAGAAGGACTTACACAGATATGTATCTTGGTGACTTTACTAAGAGTGGTGCTTATAAAGCAGCTCCTTTATATTTGCTGGTTTTTGTGTGCCACTGCCTGATCTGGATTCCTTAGAAAAAGTGGTACTAAAGCAATGCAAATTTGGTGGTTCTACCCTTAATTTAAATACCAAGGAAATTATGTCTTTTCTGTATTTGAACTAGCAAGCAGATGTTTCTCATTTTCTATTTGAAAGTGTTTGAATAGTGTGGTGTGCACTTTTAATAATTGATTAGGCCTATGCTCCATGTTGTGAATGAATATATATTCGTATCAGAAAATGAGTTGGATGCAGCAGTATAGGGCAAAATTTTGAACTTTTGAAGACTCTTAAAAACTGTCTACTATGTAAAATAAGTTTCCTTTTGAAATCTTCCCATCTCACTAGCTCTTCAGGTATCCATGTCTGCTTTTATGACTTATGCCAAAGCCTTTATAGAGCAGTTTCACCCAATATCTATGACCAGTATGTTGTTCCCTGGAAACCTCTAGTTCCAAATGCAATGGACATGGCAGGCAGTCACTTGGAGATAAAAGAATAACCTTTACTTACACATTTTCTTCATCAAAAAGTGGAAGGGGAGCCTGGGGGTGTAGTTCTGTGTTACAGCACTTTCTTAGCATGCACAAGGCCCTGAATTCAGTCCCCAGCACTAGAGAGAAACAGAGATAGAGAGAGAAATGGGATATATTCATGACTACTTTGACCTTTACTTCAGAGCTTTCTATCTTAAATAAATCACCATTTTTCCTTTCTGCAATAGGGGCCACATGCCAGAGTGGTACACAAAATCTTTTGGACATTTGTGTGCAGCTGAAGTGGTAAAGATCCGAGACTCCTTCAGTAATCAGAACAGTGAAACCAAAGACACCAAATCTAGGTGATTACTGAAGCAAAGCATCTGTATGTGCCTGGGTGATGTCCTAGAACTTTGCCAGCCCTTGGAAGAATTGGTCTGCATCTGATCCTGAAATACAAGTTGGAGTGTAGAAACTGACTCTAGCCATTTGATACATTTTTAAAGCTGCTTCCTGTTTGTTTTAGGTCTTAAGTTCTAGACCTTGACTGGAATATATAAGACTGTGCAAAAGAAAAATATACTTGTATTCTTATTCAAATTGCTTCTGAGAAGCAAAACCTTAAATACATTATGGAAGATAATGAAGATACTTCATTTTGTTGTGATATCGGTGTTTGTGTGCCTATGTCATGTATTTGCAGTGTGTTGTGGGACTGGTGTATCCACTGGAATAGTTGGTACTCTGACATGTTTTCTCACTGAGATGAGCAAAGAAAGGTTTGCACAGCAGAGTGTGAATGTGTGTTTGTCACTGGCTGAATGGCATGGATGTGTAAGTTGGAATGCAGTGTCTGGCACACTGAGATGCCTCTGGGAAGCATGTTGATGCACCAGGCTCAGTTTAACCTGGACTATCTGACTACCCATGGATCCATTCAGAAAGAGGACTCCACACCCTTGTCTATTTATTCTTTTCCAGGTTGTTAAGTATATTATTTCTCCATCAACCTCTTCTTTCCCTTAACGGTAATTGTAGATTGTTTTGATACTCATTTAACATGCAGTTTGTTTTTAGACTTGATTGCAAATAGAGATATAGTTTTATCTAGTAAAGATTAGCTCAGAGATGAATGTCCTCCTCCCCATCCTACTGGCTCCAAAGCATAGGTTTTGGTTTTTGTTTTTAAATGAGAAGTAAAACTAAACACTCAAAAATTTATTCCTGAATTAAATATCATTTATCTGTTGAAATTCTTTGCATTTTCATGTTTATAGCATAAACTCTTTAAGACACTGTGCACATTGTGCATGGGAACATAGGAAACTGTCTCCCAAGGAAATTTCTATAAATTTAATTTAATCCTGGCACGGGGCTTTTGTGTGTGTATGTGTGTGTGTGTGTGTGTATGTGTGTGGTAGCTGTTAACAGCATTCCTGCGAACTGCACATATTTATTAATTGGGTTCTGTCCTTATCAGCAAACAAGTTTTCTAGACTTTTTATTTTGCTTTTTCTACATTTCTTTTTTTTCTCCTTTATAATGCCCTTGAAATACATTTTAGTAGTAATGGGAAATAGTAATCATATTGAAAAAAAACCCAGTGTTTTGGAAGGGTGGTCTTTATACAGGTTTTACTGGAATGGTAAAGACTGACTCGAGACAGTATTAGTAAATTTATTTTGTATGGATCAAAAGTGAATAATGTATGAATGAGAGTTGTAAGAAGGATTTTTATTTTGTTATAACATATTTTAGTTACCATTGTCAGTGTTATTTCAGAGGTTCTTTGAAGAATTTTGGGGGTCAGATTAGAGTTTTAAAATTTGAGTATTTTGGATATTGAGTATAAGTGTATCCTTGTGAAGATATACTTATATATTCAATTTTGATGGCTTCCAAATTTGTAAGATTGTATGTTGTATATACCATTCTGTTAAGAACCATGTACACATGTCTGTCCCCTGTGCTTTCAGACATAGATAAAGCATGATAAAGATTATTATTTAAAATATTCTTGTATTTATACCTCAGATATTCTTTTGGGTTTTGTACCTCAAGGCTTTTTCCCCTTTATTGTAAGTACACTTTACATGAATATAGTCTAAGTGAAAAAAAATAAATAAAAGGAAGAAGTTTATAATTTGCTCTATATCTGTACAGAATATAACCAGTAAGTGCACTATTAAATGTTTAACATAAGGGAAATGTCTGGCCTGCTTTCCTTTGTACTGCATCTTACTTCCAACCCTTAAAAGCACAGATGACAAAGTGTAGGAACACAAGTGTCAACTAAAATCAAAAGATTTGTTGAAGAAAAAAGTGGACCGCGAATCCTTCCAAGGCCAAACTGCAGCTGAGCCACTCTTCAAAACAGGAAATCCTGGTGAAGGTTCAGAAAGCACAGAGACTCTCCAAACAAAGGTCACATTAGGGAATCGTGCTGAGAAAGTTACGAGAATAAGCAACAGCAAAGCAAAGATGCTCATAAGCAAAACCAAGGTCTCTGATTCCTTCCACAAAAGGTCTCTCTTGCACTACTTAGCTCCCCTATTGTAAGAATTCCTTCCATCTTCGACAAGAAAAGAATTCAAAGGATGTGAACATTTTCAAGAACTCAGCTTATGTCACCTACTACACTATCATTACAACTCACCCACATGACTAACTGACTAGATTGTAAGCTCTTTGAGTGCAGGCGGTGCATCTCCTACACGCCTTTATAATCCTCTACAGCAACTGTCAGTGTTTTGTACTTGTAGGCACCTACAAATAATAAATTTATTATTTGCTCTAGTGAACTGGTTGAATTAGCTTCTGTTATTTCAAAGGGAAGAGAACATATGTTGCCATCAGGCCTTAACGCTCAACTTTGGCTCATTGCTGCCCTCTGAGATCGCACAGGTTGGAAATGGTTAAACCTATGAGATCTTGCATTTGAAACTGAAAACAATGGCAGCAATACTAAGTGCACTAATTCTAAGTGAGAGTTCATGGTGAATTTTTTTTTCTTTTGATGGTAGTACTGGGAATCAAACCCAGGTCATGCATACTAAGCAAGCACCCAGGACTGAGCTACACCTGCAGCCACTTTGTCATGGAATTGTAACCAATATCATATCTCACAGTGCTGTGGTATCCATCTTGGAAGAGATTTTATTTCCACCATATTTATTTGGGGAGTAGAAAGGTGGGAACAACCCAACCTCCTAATTTTTAAAGACACAGCACCTGCCAAAGGTATTCATTCATTTGGATTCTGCCTCTAGACCTGGTTTCTTCAGAACTGTATTAAATAAAGATCAAAATGTCTTAGGCAAGAATGTCTAAATCCACCAGAGAACCCTGAAACCCTAAGTTACTAACAGGTTGTACACTTACCACTGTTGAGATGGAGTAAATTCTCTCATAGGCGCCCACTGTGATCTTAGATTGCTTTTGACACACCATCTATTTGCTTACTCTATTTACTTAGTTATTCTGCACCAAAGTCTGCCCTCACATATTAAAGTACAAAAAATGATCATGCCATGTAGTGAGGACATGTTTTTAGGCCCCCCCAACCAGAGAGAAGATCTTCACTGGACAAAGCTCAAGGCAGTTGTCATACTCAAAGCATCCTACCTAGCAATTTGTAAATGAATAAATTGGTAACCTCAACATCAAATGGTTCTTCAGTAAGAGATTTTTTTTCAGCATTGCAAAAACAAGTGAGATTTTTACAAAGTAAAATCTAAAGAAAAACTGAAGAACCTAATGATCCAAAACTGGTGCCTTCCAGCCTTATTGGGTAGGCATATGTGGAAAGAGAAAGGGCTTGTAGAAGTGTGTGGGATTTCATACCTACATTCATGTGTCTTTACACCACCTTTGTTAACTTCGTACACTTACTTAAGCCCGAAGCATGGTTCTCACCATTCTATGGCCAGAATATGACTTACAGAGTTAGTGACAAAACAAAGTCCTCTCAGATCCAGACAAAGTAGAACTGTGATTCCAGTTCCACTACACCAGACCACTTGCCCTTTGCTGATCTTTCCCTCAAAGGGAGGCAATTTTCTCAGAAAAAGCCAATTCACTGTGGCTTCTGCATCAGAAAAACTAGAGAAATGAAAGTGTATAGTACTATTGGGGATCAAAACAGCCACATTAGAGTACCAAAGAAACAAGTTATTCTGTCATCTCATTACTGAGATAATTAAGGAGAAATTAAATAAGTCAAGACAAATATGAGGCAAAAGCATCATTTCAGTTTGCTATTGAAATAATTAGTTCTTTTCAGTAAATTGAATAAATTATTTCAAATGTACAAAAATTCTCTTTATCCCTGTGAAATCTAGAAGGGCATCGTTCTCTCTATTGGCAGCCACAGGCCAATGAACTTGTCTGATTACAATCCTCGGATCTCACATTTCTTGTGGGTACAAGGGAACACCTACTTACAAGCTTCTTGTCCTGCAGCCCAGCACCAGCATTCTGGTCTTCTGGCTGCAATACCTCAGTGTCTTCCCACCACACCAGAATATTTTCAAGTCCTGCTGAGATCTCTGATGTGCTGTGAATAGCAAGGGCTGTGCAAGTAGTAAGAAGCAGTAGTGAAAGGGAAGCAGAATTGAGCCTAGCTGCTCCACCTCATCTGCCTGTTGAAGCATACATCAGTGATTTTAAAGCAGAAATCCTAAACAATGAGATCATGATGTGTGTGTCATCTTGGTGTTCTATCAGGATGAAAGTTGCCTAACAAATTTAAATTCCATTTATTCCATTTGGCCAAGGAATGCAAATTATGAGAGACCTAAAGAGCCTGTGGCAGGAGAAGCTCAGGTAGGTCTGCAAGGTGCAGAGTTGCAGTAAGTTCAGGCTCATTCTTGAGGGGATGATCAGTCTTTTGCAGGCAAGGATTTTGCAAAATCATGTTAGCAGCTGTAACCCAAAGTAATTACCCGTGGTGTGTATACACAGACACAGGTCCCACAGGAGCAGCCAGTTTGCCTGTCTGGACCCAAGGCTGTGTTGACATCTACAGCATAACACCTCTTTGCAGAGATTTTTTTTTTTTTTTTTTTTAATCTCATAGGACTTTTAAAAAGGGAAGGGGGCATGTCTGGGCTAGAACTGTTACTACTCATGGGGGATTCTCATTTCCTTTCTTTTCTATTAAGATGCAAAAGATCTTGGAAAGGAAAAGCCTTACTCTTTTTAAGACTCTGATTTATTTTTCTTTTTTTTTTTTGAGATAGGGCCTTGCTATGTAGCTCACACTGACCTTAAACTTACTGTGTAATCCAGGTTGGCCTTGATCTTAATGTGTAGCCCAGGCTGGCCTCAAATTATAATCCTGGCCTGGCTTTGAGAAAGACTTTAATCAACAATGATGAGGGCTGGGAATTATAGCTCAATTGTTTCACCACCTGCTGAGCAAGCGCAAGGACCTGAGTTCAATCCCCGGTACCAAAAATAAAATAAAATAAAAATGATGAGTGATTTAACTCCCATTAAAATAGTCTGATTCCAGTTGTTTCAAAAAGTTTTATGGGTTACGGATGGGGTTTTTTTGCTGTTGTTTCAGTTTTCAGTGATGGAGATTGAGCCTTGGGCCTTGCACATGCTAGGCAAGTGCTCTACCACTAAGCTCTCACTATCCCTGGTTACAGGTACTTTTAAAATACAGCTGGGCATTTAGTTCAATGGTGCTGCACTTGCCTCATAAGTGCAAGGTCTGAGTTCAATCCCCAGTACTGAAAAAATTAAAAAAAAAAAAATATATATATATATATAAATGGTTTTGGTCAGAGTCTGAATGGACTTGTCCACAGCTGCAAACAAACCACTTGTGTATGTTAGGTCTATAATGCACCAGACACTGAGATATATGGTTTAAGATAATTAATATTTCATTTAAATCTCATCAGTCCTTTGAGGGAGAGCTTACTAGCTCAATTTCATAAATGAAAAAGTCTTAATGAGGAAGGAAGGCCTTGAGAAATAAAATAGCTGCACAATATTTGCAAGGGACTCAAATTCTGGAGCACTCGAAATATGTCTAAGTGTGACAGGTGAGCTGAATCCTAATTTAATATAATTTTTATTAATTTAAATTTGAATAGGTGCATATGGCTAGTGGCCATTGTATTGGACAGTGCAGAGGTCATTATAAAGATTTAAGAGTAACTTCCAAACAATCTAATCCTTTTTTCTCTTTTCTCCTTATAACTTTCTTTTTTAAAAATATGGTAAATATTACTAAAATATGACTTGGTACATTTCAGATCAAATATAACCACTCGACATTCCACCAGCTATCTGCAAGGGTAATGCTGTGTCCCCCCCCCAGCCTGTGGCCACCTTCTGGGTCTCACAAGCTTGTGCTGGATGATCTCTTTGCTTTGCTGCCAGAGGATGTGTACATCTCCAAACCAAAGATAAAGATGTCATTGATCTAAAAGAATGTCTAATAATCCAGAATATGTTCTTTGGCTTGCTCCAAGGGAGACCAAGGGATCCTCGCAGACATTGCTATTCCAATAACCCCCAGTTGTCCCTTCATCGACTGTACCTAGTAGTTTCATTCCCTCATCTCTGGTGTCGACCACTCAGCAGCAGCTGTTAGAGCTGATAAAACTTCTTCAGTGCAATGAGTTTGGGATCCAGGTGCTATGATTTAGCTATTTTTGGGAGGGTGACACTGGACATTGAACCCAGGGCCTTTGCACTGAGATATAACCCTAGCTCTTTATTTATTTTTTAATTTTTTATTCTGAGACAGGGTCTCACTAATTCACTAAGTTTTCCAGGTTGGGCTCAAAATCTAGATCCTTCTGCCTCAGTCTCTCAGAGTGTTGGGATTACAGGTGTGCACCACCATGCCCAGCTATTGCTTGAATCTTACATATCCCCAGAAGACTCCCATGTTAAAGTCTTGTTCTACAGGATAGTGCCACTGGAAGATGGTAGAGACTTTTAAAAGGTGGGGCCTAGTGAGAGCTGGAAGCTTTTTTTAAAGGGGGTTGTGGGACCCCAGCTCCTTCCTCTTCCTCTCACATCAGAGCCAAGAGAGAAGCAGCTTTGCTCCCCCAACACTCCCACCATGATGTGCTGCCATAGGTCCAGAGCAAGAGCATGAGAGTCAACCTGTTTTGGACTGAAATCTCCAAAACTATGAGCCACAATAAACCTTTCATCTTTATACGTTGATTTAGCTCAGGAATTTTGTTATAGAAACAGAAATCTAACACACCAGGTTTGATAGCCAGATGTTTGCACCCGAAAGTTGGCAGTGACAAGGCTAAGGCAAAGGCACATCTTCCACAGTCTATCTAGTTCCTAGTTTTTTTCTTCTTCATTATATTTCTTTACATGCTCCACCCTTTTCAAATTTTTCAAAGGGTTACAATACAAAATACTATTAACTTACCAAAACATAATGTATTCATTTTCTTATTTCCAGCATATGTACCTATTATTTATAGTGTTAATCAAAGCTGGAAGCTTCTTAGAAAGTAGTGTAAAATAACTTTTATTGACTGTCACTTGAGAGAGTTCTCATTGAAAAACAACTAAGGCTTTTAAAATTGAAGGTGACCCAAGATCTGTAGCTCGCTGAGGTCTCTGCCCTCCCCAGCACTTGGTGCAGAAATGAATGGTTAAGAAAATGGGGGATTTAACATCTGTTCCAGAGAAACAAGATTCCTTACTTCCTGGGCTAACAGGGTGAATTGTCTTCCAATAACAAAGATAACTGAGCTCTTTTTTGTTGCAGTGTTCCAAAATGTAAACATGAATAGACTGTTAATAACATTCC